TCTTTTTGAGACAGGGTCTCTCTGTAGCCACAGCTGGCCTGGAACTCACTATATAGACCAGGCTGACCTCTAATTCACAGAGATCCACCTGCCTTTGCCTCCCAAGTGCTGGGATTAAAGGCTTGGGCCACCACACCTGGCAATACTCTCTTCTTTTCAACTCATCTCTAAGTAGTGGTGTGAAATTGTAATAGAATTAAGAAATGTACATTCCATCTCTGTTCCTGGTTTCTAACATACATCTCCTAAAATCCTTGGACCATCTAGGGGGATGAGTGTCTTCCATATGCTAATTAGAACTGGTGGCCATGGTCCTCTTCAGGATGAGACTAGGTTGCCAAGAAGACAAAGGCATGGGTAGAGCATTAAAGTTTTTAGTTCCACCCCTGACAAGGGAGGAAAGAGTTGAGTTGCTCACCAAAGGTAGATGATAAAATAATAATCAATCATGCCCATGTCAGGAAGCCCATATTTAAATCCCAAAGGACTGGATCTGGAGACTCCGAATATGTGGAGGTACTGGGGGTAGATGCCCCTGGAGAGTGGATGGGAGCTCTACACTCTTCTCCACATACTTTGCCATCTGTAATTCTTCATTTGGCAGTTCAGTGAGTAACTTTAAAATAGCTATTTGTTGGTGGTCACCAGAGAGAAGTTCCTGTTGACAGCTGCCTGGGCTGCATTGTGCTGCGGGAGAGGTTGGAAGCTAAACTGTGTGCTGCTCCAGGGAAGGTAACATGGTGCATTCATCTTTGTACCCCAGCATCTAGCAGTGCTGGCATTTAGTAAGCACTCAGGAAATGTATGTTGAATGAACAATGCCTATGACAGGCAACTAGACTTTATTCCTTCCCGACCCTTTCTTCTATGACATACCTCCAGAACACCACTGCCACCCCTTCAGAGCAGAACTTCTCTAGGGAACCTGGAAGGGAAACAACTATGGCCAAGGACATTTTGGAGGAAGCAGGACTGCACTTTGATGAACTAGCTGTGGGTGTTGGACTTAGAGGTTATCCACAGAGCTCAAGCAACAGTGCAAGGACTTGGTGAACAAAATTGGCCAGTTTCAGAAAACAGTGGTCTAACTGGGCTTGTTGACCAGCTTACAGAAGCAGCAGAAAATGAGAAAATGAAGGCCATTGCTGCTCAAAACTTGCTCAGATTCATTGCAAAGCAGAGAGAAGCCGAACAGCAGCAGTTGTAGGTGGTGATGGCAGAAAAGAAGATGCAACCCAAGATCCAAGCTATCTTGGGTTGAATGTGAAGCTTTGCAAAGAATTGGAACAAAATGAACTTATTGATCAATTTAATTTTTAGAAATACTGAAAATTTCATTTTTATAGCAAAAGAGCACCCAAAGAACTCTACTTCAGGGACTTGACTAAGAACCATGTATATTGTGGCAATGTGCAAGGAGCCCAGCTCTCTGGAGGCATTATTACCAAGTGGGGAGCAGCTGTTAAACATCAATTCACAGCCACTGCCAAGGATAAGACAGCACAGGGCCTCACCTCTTACTGAATGCAAACTGAATTTTTGATCTGCCTTTTTGTAAATTCACAAAGTTCTGGAAGGAAAAGCAATAAATTATCACTTCTAAATGAAAAAAATAAAACTATTTGTTTAAAATAAGTCGGGGGGGGGGCTGCCGGGTATGGTGGTATACACCTTTAGTTTCAGCATTTGGGAGGGAGAGGCAGGCAGATCTCTGTGAGTTCAATGCCAGCCTGGTCTGTATAGGGAGTTCCAAGCCAGCTAGGGCTACGGGGAGACCCTGTATCAAAAAAAGGGGGGAGGAGGGTTAAGTGAAGTCTTTTCCTGAGTTCTCTAAGCTATTCTAGCAAATCCATAGAACATAAGGAGAGGGTTGTAGGATCCTCCAATGTATAACTAGATGGTGAGTGAGAAGTAGAGGTACTGATCTCCTACTTGGAATTACAGCCTGACACTGGGTGCAATCTTGTGGGACCCTCAACCCATGGGACCTGTTGCTATTTCCTGGTAGAATAAAAGATTGGTTAAGTCCTCTTCCCCTCCCCTTCTCCTGTACTATTTCTAGCTTCTTGACCTCTGCAGACACTCCAAATTAAGCATGCAAATCTAAGCTTTTGAAGCTAGGATCTACATATGAGAGAGAACATGAGGGATTTGCCCTTCTGGGCTGGGTCACCTCTCCAAATAAAATATTTTCTAGTTCCATCAATTTTCCTGCAAAGTTCATAATTTCCTTTTTCTTTGCAGCTGAATAAAATTTCATTGTATATACACTAAAATTGCATTATCCACTCATCAGTTGATGGACATCTAGGCTGATTCCATTTTCTAGTTGTGAATAGAGCAGCAATGAACATGGATGTGCAAGTCTCTCTGTAGTAGGACAGGCAGTCCTCTGGGTATACACTCAAGAGTGGTATAGTTGGGTCATATGGTAGTTTTATTTTTAGCTTTTTGAGAAACCTTCAAATTAATTTCCATAGTGTCCACACCAATGAACATACCCACCAACAGTGTTAGATAAGGAATCCCCTTTCCCCACATCTTTACCAGTATTTGCTGCCATTTGTTTTCTTGATTCTAACAGATGTGAGATGGAATCTCTGAGTACTTTAATTTGCATTCCCCTGACAGCTAATGATGAAATGGGGAACATGCTGGGGGTTAAAAGTTTAAGCAGGAATGGGAGTAAGAGGTAGGTAAACTAAACAAAGGATGCATGAAAAAGCCTTTTGGAAACTCAATTACTTTGTAAGTTAATTAAAAATATAATTAAGTTTGAACAGAGGTACGCTGCATGAGTAGGCAATGCTTCTCACAGAAGATATGGGTTATTAAATTAAAATATCAGAGTCAAATGTGTGATACTTCCCTACAAATCACTGGTCAGGTCCCAAAGGCCTCCAAAACAACACAGGCTATTGCCATTGCTCTTGGTTGCCAGCCATAGCTACATGGTAAGACCTTATTGCTGAAGATAATACTTTGCATGCAGAACATGGGAAAAAAATCAAGCTGGAATTGATTTGAGAAACTTCCTCCCAGCTGGATAGCTTTCATAATGCCAGCAGGTGCTGCATAGGTCACTGGAGGAGAAAAATCATCAATGGATTTACCCAGCAGTGGACCCTGCATACTATAATACTGACCTGCCAGGCAAGATATGCCCACTGGTACATAATTATTACTGGGAGAACTAAGTACTTTCTAATTGGATTTGAGGTCAGCTGCACAGGTGGGAATTCATGCCTCATACTGTAAACCTGTTCAAAAGTTCACGATTGAGGAAGTCATAGGCTCTGGTTTGGGGAGTCAGGGACCTACTACTGTTGTTGATAAATGGACACATTATCAAACTGCCTTTTAAATATTTATGTTTGTTCTCATAGATTAGTGTTGCTCTCAACCTTAGTCAGAGAAGCTTCTTTTTGGAGTGGGCAGCAGTCAATGTGGGACTCATAGCTGGTCAAAGTACTACAAATAAATAACTTCTTAGTGCTCAGACATTTATATCATACTCCCCTACCCACCCAAGGCTCACGGACCAAGAACAGAGAGCAGAAAGAATGAAAGAGCTGCAGGACGGGGAGTGCTGTGAAATGCTGTCTTCTGGACATGACAAGGCATTGCACTCATGAACTCATAGCTGCTTGGTTACCTGCACAAGATCAAGCCAATCAACACTCCAGAATGGATGGAAAAAAGCTCATGAGGCTCCACCCCTAGCTAAGGAACTATTGGTAACTGATAGCTGCTGGGGGAGGAAAAACCATTTTTCTTCAGGGTATGGCTATTGGTATGTTGCCCATTCTCCTGTGCTGGTGGATGGCCCCACACTTATGAGTGTCCAGGTAGTACTAACTGGACTCAGTGGGCTATTAAAAAAAAAATAGAAAAGGGCACGGAGGTGAGAGGAGGAAGTACTAAAGGGTTCCAGGGAAGTGGGAGGTGGGACTGGGGTTGGAATTGACCAAGGGACAGTGTATGAAATTATCCAAGAATAAACAAATATTCTTCAAAGAGAGAGAAAGAGAGAGAGAGAGAGAGAGAGAGAGAGAGAGAGAGAGAATGAATCAGTAACCGGGCATGGTGGCACACATTTTTGATCCCAGGACTGGGGAAGCAGAGGCAGGTGGATCTCTGTGAGTTCGAGACCAGCCTGGTCTCCATAGTGAGTTCCAGGCCAGGTGGGGCTACAGAGAGACCCTGTCTCAAAAAGACAAAGAGAGAGAGAGAGAAAGAGAGAGAGAGAGAATCCGTTAAGAATAAGAATTGGAGCCCTTTAATCCCAGCACTCAGGAGTCAGGCAGAGACAGAGGCAGAAGCAGAGGCAGGCAGATCTCTGTGAGTTCAAGGCCAGCCTGGTCTACATAGTGAGTTCCAGGCCAGCTGGGGCTACAGGGAGACCCTGTCTCAAAAAGACCAAAAAAAAAAAAAAAAAACCAGAAAGAAAGAAAGAATTGGAAGTCAGATGGAATAGGAAATATATGGTCTCTTTCTTGATTCCTGACACTCATCTCCTAAACACAAGTTGGTAGGGAACTGCTGGCTGGGGCATACATTTGGCGCATACATGTACTGTGTTGTGTGGTGTTTTGTTTCTCCTTTACAAGCAACCTTCTGGATCACTGTTTCATGCAAATTACTCTCTTTAGCTACCTTTTGCCAAAGCAAGGTCAATGCCAGGGGCTGACCGTGGCAGAGGCGAATCAGGGCTGCTGAGGAAAAGCTGACAGTAGACAGAGCTACCTCATAGGTTTTAGGCAGCCTAGAAGGTGTAAAGGCAGAAATCCTTTTATTAGCCACCTTCCTTGTGATTTTACAGCTTTTTGAGCATCATTTACAGGACTGAGGTTAACGTCTTCTGAGACTATGATGGGTGAAGGCAAGGTTGAGAATCTAGAAAAACTCAGGGCCTGAGCTGAGCATAGAAACTGATCTTCTTGGTGTGTGGTGCATTCATACTATCCTATATAACACACTGCCAGCCTGTGTTCTCTTACCTGCTTCAGGGCAGCAGCAGCGGGTGGGACAGCAGGGACAGCGGATGTAGCAGCAGCAGTACTGAGGACAGCACTGGCACCAGCATACACCAATCAGCAGCAGCAGGAGGAGGGCTCCAAGGATGATGAAGATTACTGTCAGCCAGTCTGCAGCGAGAAGCCAAGCAGGGGTGAACCTGGGGGATGCCTCTGCTCCCAGATCCCAGAGCCTAGAAAATACAGCTGTTGACTACAGGTTAAGTTTGAGCAATATAGTGACAAAAATGTTTAACACTGGCAAGGGAACTTCAGAGGTTCCCAATTTAATGACAATAACACAGGGCCACTTGTTTCTGGTGGGTGTTCTTGAATGCAAAAATGTACATTGATGGGGTTGCCTGATAGAAACTTTCAGTGGCACTTACGCAGGACAACGAGCTTCACCTCCTTATCTGGGTCTCCTGACGTGTCTCCTGGAGCCTCAATGGTGCAATAGTATACTCCATGGTCCCACCACATCACTTCATTAATCACCAGATCGGCTCCTGTGCAGGAAGGAAGGAAAGAGTCTCAGTTGTCAAAGGAGAGGTCAGGGAGTTGGCTTATGACTCATGGGAGCTGTAGGGCCTAGAATTGTCCTTCCTAAGAACATCTGTGGTAGATGAGAAAAAGGTGTCAGATCTTTTTCTCAGACCTCCCTTTGGCCTCAAAGATCATAATGATGGCAAATTCTCCATTGAGCCCCACCAGCAGTTTATAAGCATATGGATACACTCTCATTTAATTCCCAGTAAAACCCTATACATGGGTGAGACAGAGAGTTCCAGGGGAGAATCACACCCTCTTCTGAACCCCGAAAGCATTGCATGACACAGGTGCACTTACACGAATGCAAGTAATACACACATACAGATAAAAAAGTAATAAATAAAAGGTATTTTTTTAAAGAAGGCAGAAGGAACTATGAGAGCGTCATCACATGGGTAAGTTGGAGTCATTAAAAAGGGTGAGTTTGGTACTTTCTTGCCCTCTCTTCTTTTGCTATGATGATGTGGCACTAAGACCCTCATCAGATTTCTCAGTCTCTATAACCATAAGTCAATAATTATCTAGTCTCAGGTACTCCCTCATAGCAATATAAGCCAGCATTCAGAACAAAGTCAGTATATTTCCCATTCCTTTCTCTCAAATGAACATGGACAAGTGATTCAGTTCTGACTGACAGAATGTAAACAAGTGTTGCAGGAACTTTCTTGTGAATACCCTTCCCTCCCTTCGTTCACCTCTTTCTCTACTCTGTTGCTGGTGCCACGGTTTGGATACAGCTTGAGTGTGTCCCACAAAGTTTCATGTGTAGGAAGCTCCTCAGTGTGGCCTTGTTCGAAGGTAGTGGAATCTTTAAGGGGTGGGGCTTAGAACAGTAATTAAGTTACTTCAGGGCACTGCCATGTGGCACACACTCAGGAGGCAGAGGCAGGTGGATCTCTGTGAGTTCAAGTCCAGCCTGGTCTACATAGTGAGTTCCAGGACAGCTGGGGCTACAGGGGGCCCCTGTCTCAAAAAGACCAAAAAAAAAAAAAAAAAAAAAGTAATTCTTAAAGAGTCCCAGTTAGTTCACAACAGCATAGGTTGTTATAAAAGAGTAAGAGTGGCCCTCTCTGCCCCCGGCTCTCCTGTCGCCTCTGTGATCTCTGCTTCGTGCATGTACTTTTCCCATGATGCCATTCACTATGTGGTGGCCAAATCAATGATGCCAGTTACTCTGGTACTTTGGGCATTCAAAATGATAGGCTAAATAAACCTCTTTTCTTCTGAAATTGCCCAGCCACAGGCATTTTGTTACAGAAATAGAAAATTGATGAATGCATTTGGAAAACAAACGTGACAGCTCAGTATTGGACTGAAGGAAAACAAGAGTCTTGGTGGGTGGCAATGACCGTGGGTCTCTGGATTTAATGGAACAGAGCCACCATCCTAGAACTAGGCTGTATGTCTCCGATTTTGTATATGATATCAAAACAAACTTATTTTTGTTTAAATCAATATTTTGGGCTTTTGCTTATTTGCAATCAAATTTAATACTCACTGAAAAAGGGTATGATTATTTAGCTACATTTTAGATAAGGAAATTCAAAACAGCGGTTAAAGAAGTGGGCAAATAATATACAAATAGATAATACTTAGCAGAGGTCAGTTCAATCCCGTGATTTTCTGTCTCAAAACTGATACTGTTAAACACCAAGCCCTATTTTCTCCAAACTGGGTGAACTTCATGACCCAAAGCCCCTGTCAGTCTAAGATGAGCAAATCACTCTGGAGCTCAAAGGGACAAGTTGTGCAATGAACTTTAATGAGTATAGATAAGATGCCCAACACTTTCATAGTAAATATTACTCAAGAAAATAATCTAAGTTCTTTTTTAAAACTTATTTTTATTTTATGTATGTGAGCATTTGCCTGCATGTATGTAAGTGCACCCATCCATGCAATGCCTACAGAGGTCAGAAAAGGGTATTGAATCCCCTGAGACTGGAGTTATGGATGCTTGTTAGCCACCATGTCAGAACCCAGGTTCTCTGAAAGAGCAATCAGTACTTTTAACCACTGAGCCATCTCCCCAGTCCCAGAATTTAAGTACTTTAAGTACTGAATACTCTTCTACCTCACTAAGTTCTATGAATGGGTCATATAAACGTTCAAGTTTAGCAAATTTGACAATCGATCACTAAATGGAATGGCTCAGGCTCTGTGAGAGATCTGAGGAGGAACCAGGCCTTCTCTGTCCTGGTAGACTGAAAAACCAGTCAGGCAGTAGAATAGCTCCAGACCCCACAGTGATAGCACTGCCTGTTCTCTGACCCTCAGAAAGTGCCAAGGTTCAAAGCCCTCAGCATGGCAGGCTTGCCCTGAGGGCACATTAGGTATCATATCCAAGATTCTTTAGTCTCTGTCAAGAAATATTTATTGAGGAACTGAAACAAAAACGTGAGGTCTCGCAACACTGGAGCAAACGTTGACTTCTGTTTCCGTCTCTTTTACGTCAATCTTTGTGATACTTTTTCTCCTCATGATTTTCCAAACCCACCACCTTTTCCATAAACAAGCTCACCCCCAGATTAGGAAGAATGGTGAGAGGGCTTGATGAGAGTTGTAAATCTGCCCTAACTCTTATGGGAGTTATAATGAGTTTCTGAGGGATATTAGTGTGATAAGACTAATCCAGATATTTTAGATGATCCATGAACTGATTTAGCAGGGTCCTCTCAAATGATACAAACTCAGGCATGAAGGGGTAAGAAAACAAGGACTCCGGGAAGTCATGATGAGCCTGGAGGTAAAATAAAAGTCAAGAGGGTATACTGCTTTCTTGTAGGAGTGAGAACAAGACAGAGTCTGACCCAAAAGTGAGAGGAGACGTGTGAAAGGTACTTCTCAGAATTAGATAAGCACAGAAGAGCAGAGGAGATTCTCCTCCAGAAACTCTAAAGGAGACTTGCTAATTAAAGAGGATTTAAATTTTGAGCTTGGCTCAAAACCAATTCAGCTATCTCTGGAGAAAGAAGAGATACCCTAAGTCTTTGAGGATACACATGGAAACTAAGAGAGATACAGATGTTCCCTAGGCTAAGGGTTCAAGGACCTACTTGGTGATATCAGAGGAAAAATGTAAAAAGGTCATAATTTTCTGGGTGTGGTAGCACTTGCCTTTAATCCCAGCACTTGGGAGGCAGAGGCAGGCAAATGTCTGAAAGTTCAAGGCCAGCCTGGTCTACATAGTGAATTCCAGGCCAGCTGGGGTTACAGAAAGACCCTGTCTCAAAAAGAAAAACAAACAAACAAACAAAAAAGGTCATAATTTAAGTGTTACAAAGTTGGAAGCAATGATTAGACTGGCCCTTTAAATGATCATAAACTATTCATTGATTTTCTCATACTGTGTAGGTGCCACGAGTCACCTGCTGAGTGTATTCTCCCCCCCCCTTTTTCTTTTAACCAGAAAATTCTAACACAGCATATAATGCTCACTGCAATAGTCTCTGAATTCTGTCCAGATAACACTTCATGGTAACTCTGGATTGCAGGTTAGAAATATAGGGTGCTAACCCATCACTAAAATAAACTTATGGACTTAGGTTCATTGCATGCTCACTGTTGGTTAAGTGATTTTCACACAATATGTCACAGTTCTCTGTGAGATGGATATGACAGCATGTCCCACTTCATAAGAACTGAGGCTAAAAAGAAAAACCCAAAGGTTTTTGCCCAATTTCATATTTCCTGAATGTGCCGAAAGGCCACCATGCCTGAATCTGATTGTGGATCCAGGGTTGTAATGGCTGCTTCCTGTGCTAGGTACAAAAAGGAGATCTGAGTTAAATTCACCTTCCAGACATCACATTTCAGTGATACTAGCTTCAGTGGAGGGAGACAGATTCCATTGTGGCCACCTCTCAGATGAGGAAAAACAAGGCGGAGAAAATAGCCCATCTGTTGCTTGTGGGAAAGTGCTGTAATTCTCGCTGACCTGTTTTCAGTCAGTGCTGTTTCCTCTATCAGTGGAGGAGTAAGAACTCCTATACAATCTCATACTCCTACTTCCTTTGGTATAGGCATCAAGAACGGCCAGAGCTAACCTAGGGACCTGGTGTTTGAGGGAGCCCCGAGAGCAGTTTGTAGAAAGCACCAAAGGAGCCAGATCAACCTCTTCGCTCCAAATCTCGGGAAAGCAAAGGAACTTATTTACATCCTGACCTTTAGTCAAGGTTGAGGAACATCCTCTGGTCCACAGGCCAAATTCCAGAGAAGGGGCTTCACGCGGTGGAGCACATTCTAAGAATCTGGCTCGGCCCTTGCCTCAAACAACACAGTGACCAAGTAAATCATCAGGCCTCAGAAGACCAAGGGGAATCCCGTGCTGACTCAGCCTGCCAGGCCTCTGTCTGCATCCTCTTCAAACCCTAGTTCCCCTGCCGCCTCCCCCACACTCACGGTTCTGGATGGTGATCTTGCGCTGCCGGTAATCCACCCCCAGCACAGGCTCATTCTGCCCCCGCCTCTGGGCCACAATGCGAACTTCCCTCTGGTTGTCATTGCAATCATTGGAGGGGTCCTGGCCGAGGGATAAAGCTGCCTGGTATGCTGAGGAGAGAGGACTCAGTCACACAGAAAGTTCAGATTCTGCACGTCTGGAGTAGGCTCCCAGTTTGATTCCTAACAAGTCCTGGCTGATATCACCTGAATCTAGCTGATACCTGGGAACCCCACCTTCAGCAATAAGACCCCGAACCTCTTGAGAGCCATCATTCCCAAATCCAGTCTGTATCCCCTATCTCTCTCTTCCCAACTTCCCTGGTCTCATTTGCAGTTTCCCGCAGCTTCGCTCCAATGGGGTTTGAGTCTGCTTGCTCTTTACTTATTTAAAGAGCTCAAGAGCTGTTCAATCTTCAGAGTGATTACTGCCTACTACCCTAGTCTCCTCCCTTCTCAATTAATCCAAGTTTTCAAGACTAACCCACAGGAAACAATACTTCCATTAGGAAGAATTCCTTGGGGGACAATGTCAGGCTCAGTGAGATTTTGAGGTTCCATCCAATTCTACTGTGAGACATTAGCCCCAGAGCCACAAGAGCTACAGTGTGGCTTCCTTTCCTTGGTCTCATCTCAGAATGCTCACTTCCTTCCCCTAACAGGGTATCTCCTTGCACTCTCAAAATTTCTAAAAGGCTAATCACCTCAGGCCGACTATGGAGTTCTGGGTTTCTCTGTTCCTGGAGGAGGTAGGAATGGGCAGCTAGGGAGGAACTCTGGTTCCTGGCTGAAGAGGGGTCATGAGTAGGCCTGTTGTTATTGAGAAGCAGACATTGGCTGAAGGGAAGGAGTTACTCTACACCACTGAGATGGCCAAGGGCTAATGGGCTTCCTGGAGGGAGGCAGAGAGCTCTTCACTACTCAGACTGAGGGGGCAGCCAGGAGTCTTCACCCAACAATAGCCATGGAGGTCCTGCAGCCTGAGGTGGATTTGCATTATAGCTCAGGGCTGATTTAGGCGAGTAGACTAGGCCTTGCTGTGTCTTCTACTTTATGTTTGAGATACTTTAAATATTTTCAGAATAACATGGGGCAAACAAACTAGTACATGCCCTTAAACAAGTTGGTTTTTCAACCAGAGGTCTGTTTGTGTATCTGTAAAGAAGGACGGTGTCATTGCAGCTTCTTATTATGAGGATTTGTGATCTGCAATGATTCCTAGACCCCAATGGCTCAGAGATGCCTGGGACCCAGACAGAAAAGACCCAGGATACTCACAGGCAGAGAAGTAGTCAAAGATGGGGTCCTTGCAGAAGGACTTGAAGCGCCAGGTCACCACCACATCCTGGAGCTGAGCAGAGGTGGTGTAGTCACATTTGAGGGTGACAGAAGCAAACAGGGTGACATAGCGTTCTGTGTGCTGGACTGTGACCAGCAAGGACAGACACCCTGAAGACAAGAACATGCAAATGTACTTAGCAGCCTGCCTTTCCTCCTGAGACTGAGCATAAGCTCTTGCTGGGCAGGTTGCAGGTGGAAAGGATCCTTGGCACCCAGGGGGAGACATGGAACTAAGACGTTAGACAACTCTGGAGAATTTACAGTCCATTAGCACACCCAACACCAGTCCAACAGTAACAACCAACAGCCACAACAAGAAGAGAATTGTGTTAAAATAAGGCAATAGATAGAGGGGAATGGCTTTGCTAACAATTCTTCTTCTTCTTCTTATTTTACCTGTTCCTTATCTTCTTAAAGCAGTTTCTGTTGGGACTGGGCATGGTAGCACATGCCCTTAATACCATTACTACAAAGGCAGAGGCCTGAGAATCTCTAAGAGTTTAAGGTCAGCCTGGTCTACATAGTGAGATACTGTCTCAAAACAAACAACAACAAAAAGCTCAAATAACAAAAGTAGCTTTCCATTTTCCTAAAGCTCAAATTCCATCATCAGACCCATGAGACCTGTAGGGTCAACTTGCCTTTTCCAGCTGCCTCATCTCCCTTCAGGCCCTACCTCACACAGGCCTAAGCCACTTGGAACTTCATTCCTCACCCTGGGATTACTCTCTCCTCTGGGATTTTACACAGTGGCACTCTCAGCCTGGCACTCTTCTATATCACCCACCACCACTGTCTTCCCTGGGCTGCCTACTATCCAATCTGTAGGTCCTTAGCTGAGCTTTTGCCCTCATAGGCATCCTTGCTGGCTGCAAGTCTGAGTAGAGGATCTGCATCCGCAAAGTGCTCCGCTGTACCAGCAGGGGGCGCTTTTCTGCTTCTTGGTGGTTGAGGCTTTGAGAAAACTACTGGGTTTGTCTCTTCACTGTTCAAATGCAAACACCCTGCTTGTTCCATGCCTGTCATACAGATGCTGGTTGGATAATGACTACAAACATAAAAAGTAGTGGATATTTGGCTGCACAGGCAGTCAACATAAACACAGAGCAAATTAAATAACAACCATCATAGAAGGCAATCCACATCAAGACATACTTGAAGGAATTAAGTTTTTCTTTCTTTTGTAAAATTTCCTCTTACAACCCTGAAAGCTACTAGGCATACTTAAAGCTCCAGGTTTCTGAGATGAGGAGACCAGTGATACAAAAGGACCAGATGGGACTGTGGCATGGTCAGAGATCTGCCCAGAGCCAGAATCTTGGAATGCTTCCATATTATTATGGTTTCTAGGCTGCATTAGAGGGGTTCTTTCTGGCAGGCTAGTGTAGAGCAATAGGACTCAAAGTTGAGCGTATGTCAGTACAAGGACTGTGACAGCCCAGACCATCTGGCCCTGTTGCCAAGAGTTTCGGGTTCAACAGGACTTGGGTGAGGCCCACGTACTTACATTTCTAACAAATTTCCAGGAGAAAGAAATAATATGTCCAGACGACACTGACACTATTGCTCTGGGGAACTTTCAGAATAGCTGGAATAGACTAGATTTTAAAAGTTAACTCTATAGGCTTTGGATTCAGATACAACTGAGTTCAAATCATACTTTATTGTTGACAATAAAGACACTGGACACTGTGTTGGACACTGGACACACTACTTGCTGTCTCTTAGCTTCTCTTTCCTCAGCTATGAGTGGGGATCATGATAGTACTACAGGTTGGGTGTCCCGGTGTCCCTCATGTGAAAAGTTCTGAAATCCCAAACTTCCTCTTTCTTTTTAAAGTATCTATGTGGTGCGTATGCATGTGGGACACACACAGAGACCAGGAGGAATGTTCTTGTCTACAACTCTCCTCCTTAATTCCTTTGAGATAGGTTCTCTCACTGAGCTGAGAGCTTGTCATTTTCCAAAAGCCAGCAAGCCTCAGCAACCCTGTCTCTGTCCTTCCCAGTGCTTGGGTGATGGGTACAAGGCCACATCCAGCTTTTTACATGGGAGCTGGGGATCCGAACTCTGGTCCTCATGCTTTCACAACAAAAGCTCTTATCTCAAAACCTTTCTGACTTTAGACTATCTCAGATGTCACATTTTAAGATTAGGGATACTTAACCAGTAAAATCTATACAAATATTCCCCAATTTGAAAAACTCAACCCGAAATACTTCTGGTCCCAAGCACTTAGGATTAGAGATACCTGTACTACCTCATCAAGTCCTTCCTTACAAGAATTCAATCAGAGATGCAAGCTGGAATTTTCTCCAAAAGACCTATCAGGCAGTACCTCCTTCCTTTTGACTGAACCACCCTTTTACAGAGCAGCTAAATGAACTTATTAACATTATTATTATTATTATTATTATTATTGTGGGGCATGTATGTGGAGATCAGAGGACAACTTTGTGGAGTTTGTTCTCTCCTATTACCTTTACATGGGGTCTGGGGGGATCACATGGTCAGGCAGCAGCACCTTTACCCACTGAGCCATCTCTCTAGCCTCTAACCCGACCTATCTTGATAGCTAGGGCCACATGATTCTGGGTTGTGCCTCATCTGGCCACAGCCCTCACAAGACAGTCCTAAGAAGCTTATGAGGGGCACCTTCTGCTTTTATCACATCCTTGGGAGATAGAGGATGCTGCTCAGGTCAGGCTCTTGTCACCAGAACTGACCTGACCAGTCTCCAGAACTAGGCTGTGATGAAGATGCCCTATGACAGATAGGCCGGAGAGAGACTCTTCAGCAAGGCCGGGGAGAGTTGTGTATGAGAAGACTAACAGAAGCAGATTTAAGGTAGATTTGAATGCTCAGGTAGGGCTCAAGGTAGGATTCAGAGTATCAGAAGACCTATCAGAATCAGGGAGACTGGCTGTTCCAGAAGGAAGGAAAGGAATGAGCCAGGCTTCTCCTCACAAAGGGTGTTTAGAGAACCTGGAGGGAAGCCATTTGGCTGGAGTCTGAGAGAGACTGGGAACTAGGCAGGAACTAGGTGGTGTGGATGACTGGAATATGGTGTGGAATGAAGTCACGATCCATTGTCTCTAGGTTATGGATAATCACTGAAGACGTTTCTGAAGAAGAGCAACAGGTGAATTTAGGTATATTTACTTATACAGAGATGGAACACTGGGGAGGGGGAAATGTGCATTTGCTGAGGGTCAGGACTTGGTGATCACCTTGGTTACCAAATTCACACCCAGCACCTCACTGATGAATGCCCTTACTGTGGGTAAACGATAGCTGGGTGACCAAGTCACCTTTACCAAAGTAAGTGCTGGCTTTGCTGTTGGGGACACCTCCTTTCTACTATTTCATGCCTAATGTGAATTTCAAGGCTTAAAATACTCCAGATCTCCATACATTCTGATTATGTCAAGATGATGATGATGATGATGATGATGATGATGATGATGATTTTTGGTCTTTTTGAGACAGGGTTTCCCAATAGCCCAGCTGGCCTGGAACTCACTATGTAGACCAGACTGACCTCGAACTCACAGATATCCCTGCCTCTGCCTCCCAAGTGCTGGGCTTAAAGGTGTGCGCCACCACACCTAGCATGTCAAGCTTATTAATATTATCTGCAGAGATCTACCAACCTCACAGTACACTATACACACCCCAGCTCCACACACTATACACTTCACACACAGGGACAGTGGGGAAGGGTCTCAGGAGGAGAGCTACCACCAGCACACTCTTGCCCATTTGTGTGCTTGTTGCTAGCTCTCAGCATCTACTGGGGACCCGGTGATGCATGCACTTTGTCCCTAATCCTCTCAACCCCCTGGTGGTAGGAATCAGCTATGTTCTGTTCACCTGTGTGAAGAAAAGTTCAGAGGGTGTAAGCCAAGACCTCAAATGCCTAACAGCACATCCCTAACTTAATAAGTATCAGTGTCCAGGATAGAACTCAGACCTGTCTGACAAAAACACATTTCTAAACAGGAAACTTTTCCAAGGTGTACAACAGGCAATAGACTCTCAAAAAGCAATAGGACTTTCCAGGTAGGGAGAGAGAAAAGGGAAGTTGCAATAAGCCATCTCAAAAGCAAAATTGTCCCATCTCCTTTTTTTCTGTAGCCTCTAACATTTACTCTGTAGAACAAACCACATTCAACACCCACAAACTCATCAGGTAAGGTTTTTAAGAAGAGACACAATTATAGATTATAGATGACCTCGTTACATGTTTGCTCTTCTAAACTTAGTACTCAGAGTTTGCAAATTCTTGAATCCCCTTCATGTTGTGATTCTTTCTAGTCCCCAATTCACTGTCACTTTTAATTCTGGGACCTGACTGCCCATCTTTAGATCCTGCCTCCCCTCCCCATCCTAAACAGCTAATAAGTTATTTCCAAGCTATAGTTTTCTATTACATTGAAAATCAGGCAATGCGATACCTATCTCAAAATGTAGAGAGAATGATAAATGTCCCCTAGACACTAAAGGACCTGGCACAGAGTAGACATTCCATAAACATCAGTCATCTGCTGTGTCATCTGTCCTTGTTTCATCTAAATTAAGAGACAGATCAACTAAGACCAGAATTATTAAAATCTTTTGAAAGAATTAAATATGTACAAATATAAGTTATCATTAGTCTTCCCTTTGCAAAAAGCAGTTAGTGGACAAAAACTTTGCAGCTCTGCACCCCAGCAAACCCATTCAGTTTACCTCTTCTGTGAAAGAGGAAGGGAGCAAAGGCCGGTCATTTAAGGGTAGAAAGGAAACTTCAGATGAGCTATGAGAGTGCCTGGGAAGGAGGGAAGGGGAAGGGGATTCTCCGTTTCCCGCCATCAGGTACTTTCCAAGACCATGTTGCAGTGCCAAGAGGGGACTGCCGTCCTACACTAAAGTAGAAGGAGAACAGATCAATGAAAGCACGGTATCTCACCAACTAAATGCCATGTATTCCCCAATGCACGGAGAACTTAGTACATTTCTTTACTTAGCCTGTCTCCCTTGTGTAGTATCTGATGGGGCAAGATGCTCCAGTTTCTAGAAGATACTAGCCAAACAGCATAGGGATACAGGTGCTAACTTTTTTTTT